ATGAACTGTTCCTGTTATGAGTATGAAATGTCCATCTCCCTCTCTTCTGATAGATTTTAGTTTGAAGTCAATTTTGTTAGATATTAGAATGACCACACCCGCTTGTTTCTTAGGTCCGTTTGCTTGGAAAACCTTTTCCCAGTCCTTTACTCTGAGTAGGTGTCTGTGGTTGAGGTGTGTTTCTTGTAAACAGCAGCATGTTGGATCCTGTTTTTGTATTCAATCTCTAAGTCTGTGCCTTTGTATAGGTGAATTGAGTCCATTGATATTAAGTGATATCAATGACCAGTGGTTGTTGACTCCGGTTTTTTGGGGTTTTTTTTTGGGTAGTAGAGTGTATGTGTTTCCCTTCTTTGAGTTGTGCTTATGAAGGGTCGCTAGATGTCTGAGTTATTGTAGGCGGTGTTGGGAATGTTGGATTCCTTGGGTTGTGATTTTCCTTCTAATACTTTCTGTAAGGCTGGATTTGTAGCTACGTATTGCTTAAATTTGTTTTTATCCTGGAATATTTTGTTTTCTCCGTTGATAGTGAATGATAGCTTGGCTGGGTATAGTTGTCTGAGTTTGCATCCATGGTCTCTTAGTTTCTGCAGTACCTCTATCCAGGACCTTCTGACTTTCATGGTTTCCATAGAAAGTCTGGTGTAAGTCTGCTAGGCTTACATTTATAAGTTACTTGATCTTTTTCCTTTGCAGCTCTTAATATTCTTTCTTTAATCTGAATGTTTTGTGTTTTGATTATTATATGGCGAGGGGATGTTTTTTTTTTTGATCCAGTCTATTCAGTGTTCTGTATGCGTCTTGAACCTTCATAGGGATATCGTTCTTTAGGTTGGGGAAGTTTTCTTCTATAATTTTGTTGAATATATTTTCTGGACCTTTGATCTGAAATTCTTCTCCTTCTTCTACCCCTATTATTCTTAGATTTGGGTTTTTTTATTGTGTCCCACAGTTCCTGAATGTTTTGTCATGAGAATTTGTTGGATTTGCTGTTTTCTTTGGTCAGAGTGTTTATTTTCTCTATGGTGTCTTCAGAGTCTGTGATTCGTTCTTCTATCTCTTGTATTCTGTTGGTTATGCTTGTTTCTGAAGTCTCTGTTCGTTTACCTAGATTTTCCATAGCCAACCGGCCCTCGGTTTGCGTTTTCTTCATTGCCTCCATTTCAGTTTTCAAATCTTGAACTGTTTCCATTACCTGTTTGATTGTTTTTTCTTGGTTTCCCAGAATTTCATTTACGGATTTACTCATTTCTTCAAACTTTTTGTTATAATTCTCTTCCATTTCTTTACTCATTTCCTCAATCTTTTTGTTATACTTATCTTCCATTTCTTTACGACAGATTTCACCTCCTGTTTAAGTTCCTCTATTATTTTCATAAAGATCCGCTTAGAGTCGATTTCTTCTATTTCTTCTGGAGTAGGGTGTTCAATTCTTCTAGTTTCGTGATCCCTGGATTCTGGTGATATCATGTTGCCTTTCAGGTTGTTGGAGGAATTCTTGCATTGGTGCCTGCCCATCTCCTCCTCTCTGGATGAAACTCCTCAGCACTCTCTGGATAGAACTCCTCAGCACTCTCTGGATAGAACTCCTCAGCACTGCAGCAGGGACAGTTGGTATTCCAAGGATCCAGAAGACAAAAGGGCAGCGGCAGTGGGGGCAGGGAGGAGTCCCGTGGAACACCAAAGACCCTGCCACAGAAGCTGAGCTGGAGAGCGGGATTGTGACCGACTGTGTGTGCTGTGACTGTCTGTTCGTGTGACATAGGCCTTGACCTAAGATAGTTAGCAATTTATACTTTTCCCACTCACACGGCTGGCAATCTGTGATTTTTTTCTTAATTTTGAGCACGGGGTCTGTTAACTGATCATTCTCCAGTGGCATATGACGAATGGAACTATTTCTCCTAGCCTGTTTCTTGTTTACCTTGAAATGTGGTTTCAATATTCAGCAAGGGCCATGTGTTGAAGCAGATGGGAGATAGGCCCTCTCAGGAATGCTGGCAGCTCTCCCTTTCAGATGGAGAAGTTCTAGAACATTCCTCCAGGCAGGTTACTGAAGATGGTTACTGTTAGTGTGAAATAGTCTGCTTTTTTTTCTAATGTGTTTTAAAATATTTTTTTTCTTTTAGAATGAATTCTGGAACAAATACAAAGGTAAGATATTTCTATTTCAATCATGAGAGAGACTCCTTAACATTTAAATTAAGAGAAAGTAGTAGCTTTGGAAAACATTTTAAATTACATTCTGGTTCAAATCTTATTTATCTACACTTTTCCCTTCTATATTTCTATGATACTTTTAAAAAGTATTTTATAGTAAATTTATATGGATTCCAGTTTATTATTTATTAAAATACACATCTTTCTGGGGATCTTGTTGCACTCAGTGTCCTGTTCACAAACTCCCAGGTTCAAGCCACCCTCATGACCCAACCTCTTGAGTAACTTGGAGTGTATGCGTTTTCTACCATGTCTGGCTCAGATACAGATTTAAGTCAGTTCTTCCTTATCTGAGGATGCCAAATTCCATGATATTTTTAACAAGTTTAGCAAGCTGAAGCAAATGGTGGAGCTTGAAATATTGGTTTTTCCAAAAGGTGTCCACCCTGATGACTGTTCATAGCATCAGAAACAATACTGGTCATGGCTACCTAGAAATTATTTCAAAACCGCAATTAGACACTCCTCCTCTGAGTAAGTGACAAACCAAGAGAGGTGGAGCCTTGTCAGAGCTGGATCATCCCCTGGTTCTTATTCCACACCCAGAGGCCTTGGAGAAAAGAATCCCATCCTTCTCTGACCAGCACCCAGTCTAGAAACAAGTGCCACACTGTCCCCTTGTCCCCCTCCTTTGCAGAGGAGGTGAAGCCCCTCTCCCTGGCCACAAACGCATTGTAATACATCCCAGAGAAACCAGCAACCCAGCCAACAAGGCACAGGGGTATCACACATACACAGCCACCAAAGTGGGAACTAAACAAATCTAGGTATGGTGAATTTATTCTCAAGAAGAAGCAAGCTTAAGCTATCGCAAAAGTGGCTGCAGGTACCACACAGTGTCGGTGGTGCCCACGATGAAACAACTTCAGCCTTGGTTTCCCAATCCTCTCACTGCAGATGGTGACCAGTGCGAAACCAACCCTTGCCAGAATCAAGGCAAGTGTCGCGACGGCCTGGGCGAGTACACGTGCACCTGCGTGGAGGGGTACGAAGGCAAGAACTGTGAATTCTGTAAGTCCCTCTCTTGATGGAGCTTTGGGTCATACCACAACCAGGGAAGAGGGGAGACACTGAAACACCTAATGAGATACCTAGGTCATTGGTCACTCTCTGACACATCAGCTGCTCGGCGGGGTGCGACGTGAGAGACAAGACTTTCCCGTGGGGCACCGTGAGACGGATGAGAATCGGGTAGACTGTGCACACGGCTCCTCCTGCTTCTGCTCTGGCATCGCCTTTGTTTACACTTGTCAACACAAGCATCAACAAGGAATGGTCTAGGTTGCCCAGTTTCAGATATGTGGTGCCTTTAGCTGTTTCATAGGGAGCCTCTCTGAGCTATTTGTACCATGGTGACTCCATTTTTAAATAGTCATTAGATTTCTCTCAGCCCAGTTCTCCCTAACAAGTAAGACCTGCATTTCCTTTACCTCTTTATCTCTTTAATTTTTATTTATTTATTTATTTATTTTCTATGGTCTCACTTTTTAACCAAGGCTAGACTAGAACTTATATAACTTACTTATGTATAGCCCACTCCAGATTTGAACTCCCAGAAAATCTCCTGCCTCATCTTCCTAAGTGGGATTACAGGTATATATCACCATGCCCAGGGTTAAATTACTTTCCTTCTAGAATGCAATCTTTATCCAGATGCCCTCGGGACTCTCCCCAGTGGAGCTGCTGGTTGTGATTAGGACCCATCCCACAGAAGCTCATACAGTTCCTGTACACAACAGACTAAGATATCTAATGAGGGGCACAATCTGGGAGCTAAAATTCTATCAAGGTTCTCACCAAACCCAAGCAGAGGGCTGTAAAGCAAATTGCTACAGACGTGGTTATTAGCGTGAGCTGGATCAGCTAGCACTGGAAGCAGGTGGGTACCTCTGGTCTAAGACGCGGTGGATGGAGGAATACAGGCTCAGTCAGCCTAAGGTGCAATGGCAGGTCAGAAGTTACCAAGGGAGTTAAGCGGGCGCTATGCTGCAATTTCATGTAGCCTCAAGTCCCTTTGCTTCCACAATTTACTAGCATATAGATAGAGTGGTGGGACTTAAATGACACCCCCACCCCTCCACTTCCATCTTCTCTGGAGCTGACTCCCGGCTTTCTGCCACACATTTCCCATGGATAATCATTCCTTTTAGGTCTCACAGGAACCCAGATCCCAAACCACGGCATACCCACAGCAGGGTGCCTGGTGCATCACTGGGGCCAGGGCAGGGCTCAAATACTGTTCATTGTTATTGAGTGAGGGAAGGAAGAGGTTCAGCTAGGATGCAACTCTTCGCCCATGCCAAGGGCAGCACCCTGGATGAGCAGGATGTGCACAGCCCTCAACAGAGAACATGCATCTGCCCTCCCTCACAAAACTTCTCATTGGAGAGCCCTGTGAGGATGCCAGGTGTCCCTCCCCTGGCCTGTGCAGAGGCTGGGTGTTCCCCCATAACCTGTGCATATGACAAATGTCCCTCTCGTTGTCTGTAAGGATGCCAGGTGTTCCTCCTGTAACCTGTGCATGTGTCAAATGTCCCTCCCATGGTCTGGGGAGGCAGCAGCAGGAAGAAAGGCTTACATGAGGCTGGCATCTCGTTTGGCTGCCTATCCTGTTATCATGGAAACCACCCCGGTGTGGGCCTTTGGATACCCTGGCCTGGGCATGGCTGTGTGAACTCATCACGTGTCTATGGGAAGGGCTCATCTGTCCTCTGTCTTGCAGTTGTTCGGAAACTCTGCAGCCTAGACAACGGAGACTGTGACCAGTTCTGCAGCGAAGAGCAGAACACGGTGGTGTGTTCCTGCGCCAGTGGTTACTTCCTGGGTGACGACGGCAAGTCCTGCATCTCCACAGGTAGGAGTCATCAGCTGTGGAGACGGTGTGACGTTGCTGAGGGCACGTTCTGGTGGCACCTGCAGAGGCCAGTGATGCCAGGAGATGGAGAATTAGAGACGGGGCTCTGGACAGATCAGCCATAAAAGTTCTAGGTTTGAAAGGAGATGCATTAGACCTAAGGACAAGCGACTGCTCCACCTCAGCACCTGAAGGGGCTGGCACTGCTGCCTCATTGCTGGCAAAGGAGGTGATCCCAGGCATCACTAAGTTGAGCATACCCACAGCTCTGGCCATGACTTTTGTGCAGGGCAGCCCATGCTCCTCTGGCCTGGGGGCCTGGAAATCACAATATCTCAGGGGCAGGACAAGGGCAGGACCTGCCTGGGTCAAGAAGGAGGCCTGGGCAGGTAGAGGAGCCCACACTGGTATCATTTTTGCTGCCCCATGCTGATTGGGTTTGCTTTTTACCTGGTGAGAGCCAGGTGTGCCAGGTCTTATGCGTAGCAGAATCACTTGTTAAGAGTGACTAACAAGGCTCTGAGAGAGCAGTGAGTGCCACGTGGGCCGAGGAACATAAAGGGCCAGGGGAATGAGAAGGGCCCAACCCATGTTCTTGGTTACAAGGGTCTCTTGAAGAAACAGAGACACTGCAGAGTGTATAAGCTTCTAGGCAGCAAGGATAATCAGCCTCTGATGGATTGACTGTCTAGTGACTCTTCAGAAGTTCTTTTTATTGATACACAAAAGGCCCTTTAGGGAGTCAATTCCTGCATACCAACATCTCTTATCTGAACTAGGAGTCATCTTATGGAACTATTACCTAAGCAAACACAATCTTGCTAAAAATTCCAAGTTTGCCAGGAACATCTTAAGACTGAGGTTATGCCAAGGCTCTGATATTCCCAAGAAAGAGCAATCTCATAAAAACTCAGATAACAATTATTGATTATTTTCAAGAGATTATTTCAAGGCCTAAGTGGTCATCACTCCAGAGTAAATGCCAGGGGCAATGGCTCTTTTAATATTCCACTATACTCATCTATGTTAGCCATATGGCTTGGTACCTTTTTCAGCTGTCAGCTCACATGTTGCTTCTTCGGTGATCAGGGCAGGAGTGGCAGAGGAAGCTTCCTGCTTCCCAGAATACTCCCGTTCTCTTTGTTCCACCTCTACTTCCTGTCTGGTTTTCCCGCCTATACTTCCTGCCTGATCAATCAGCGTTTTATTAAAATACATGATTGACAGAATACAGATAATTCTCCCGCACCATTTCCCTCTTTTTTTAAAAAAAACAAAGAAAAATACCCATAGTCCATTTGTTGGGAATGTGGGCTACTTCCTGCTGGTTGGGGGCGCTGATAATCTTATGGGGTCCTAAAGAAAATTTAGAGTTATAATCAAGTCCTGAATGGAATATCCTGGGAGTCTTGATCATCTCAGGTAGCAGTCTTGAATCTATTCTGGATGTAGAACTCTGTCATCTGGGCCATCTGTTCCTATCGGAGATTTCTCAGGTGGTCTTCCTTTATCGAACCTGATTTTTCTTAACTCAGAATGAATCCATTGCTTCTTATTTTCTGTGGAAACAAAAGCAAAATCTCTTCTCCAAAGTAACATACCTTTTGACTTCAGTTTTGAAGCCAAGGTATTTTCAAAATACCTATCTTGGATTAATTCAGCAGCATTTATAAACAAATATCTTTTAGCAGCTGTTGCTCCTTCCTCAGCATTCAAACAATTCAAAGAGAGCATAATAGCATACAGTATCAAGATTCTCTGTATATTTTCCATCTTTATTCGGCTTTATTTTAACTTCTATTTCTTTTATTTTTACTTTTACTTTTTGAGACAGGTTTTCTGTATATCTTTGTCCTGGAATAACTCTGTAGACCAGGCTGTCCTTGAACTCACAGAGGTCCCACTGTCTCTGCCACCCCAGTGCTGGGATTAAAGGCGTGTGCTACCACACCTTGAACTCACAGAGATCTGTCTGTCTCTGCCTTCCAGGCATTGGGATTAAAGATGTGTACTACCACACCTTAAAGTCACAGAGGTCAATCTACCTCTACCCCTTGAAGTCTCAGAGGTCAATTTACCTCTGCCTCCCAAGTGTTGGGATTAAAGGTGTATACCACCACACCCAACTACTCTCTTTCTTTTTTTACTTTAAGAACTTTAACTTTTATCCTGCATATATTTTTAACACACTATAAACCATTTAGAGGTTTTCTTCCTCTTTGAATCTCTCTTTACTGTATATCTCTCTTTTTCTGACCACATGAGCCTTTAATTTACTAAGCAATATGGAGAGCCGTGGCTTTGATGGCTAGATCCAGCCCATTCCTTAGCTCTCCAGCCTCATGGTAGAGGAACCATCAGAGCCATTCTTGTCATCACAACTCTACAGTGTTTTAAGGTCCCTGCCAGCAAGCAAGCTGCAGCATTCTGCTTACAGACCACACTCAGTTGGACTGCCTGCCTGAAAGAGTCAGAGTTTGCCCTGGCAGGACGGCCGACATTTTAAAACAGTGCAGCTTTTTTCCTGCTACAGCTGAAAACCGAAAAACATGTGTTCAGCTTTTCACCAACACCGTTTAAGTGTTTCGTGGCAGGACCTCTTAATGAGCTGCAGGGTTCTGCAGCTAAAGCTGAGTCAGGAAGCCTCTCTTAGATGAGAGCACTTGCTTGCCTCTAGCAAGCAGAGCAGACCCAAGAAATTGCTGCTACCAAGAAAACATGCTTTACTCTATTCTTTCCCAAGCTTTCTCAGGCTTTCTGTGGATTCAGTTATCCACGTCTGGGCACCATCTGTAACATGAGGGCCGGCTTGTTGGGGTATCTGTTCCTGCCCCGTACCCCACAACCAGCAAGTCCCAGAGAAAATCACACACAGGACTCCATAAGATTATAAACTGATTGGACCATTAGGTCAGGCTACTTATTAGTTCTTATGACTTATCTTAACCCATTATTCTGATCTATGTTAGCCATATGGCTTGGTACCTTTTTCAGCTGTCAGCTCACATGTTGCTTCTTTGGTGATCAGGGCAGGAGTGGCAGAGAAAGCTTCCTGCTTCCCAGAATACTCCCGTTCTCTTTTTTCCACCTCTACTTCCTGTCTGGTTTTCCCGCCTATACTTCCTGCCTGGTCAATCAGCGTTTTATTAAAATACATGATTGACAGAATACAGATAATTCTCCCGCACCATGAGGGCATGAGCAAAATTAAACAAGTTTTTATAGCCAACGTCCTCCAGTCCAGTTCCCAAAAGAGTTGCTGTTCCTTTGCAAGCTTCATAGTTTTTGCTATACACAATCCCATCAGCATTCTTGTCTTCTGAGCTCCCACTGGGAACACCCGTTTAGCTCTGCCAACAGAAGTCTAAGTTTTCTTCAGCTCTTATCCCTAAATGATTTCAAATCCTTCTTCTGCAAACTGGCTCCAAGTCTTTCGAACCACATTGACCAAGTAGCCATAGCAACAACCCTACTCTTGGTATCAATTTTTTGTATTAGCCAGAATTTCAGGGATGTGACAAAGCACCTGACCACTAAAGGATGAGGGATTTGCTTCCACTCAGCTTTCAGAGACTCGAGTCCATGGTGGTGGGGGAAGCACAGCTGGGCTGAGGCTCATCCAGTGGCTGCCAGTAATGGAGAGAGAAATGTCTGCACAACAAGTTTTGTCCTTTTCTCTATTTTATTTTGCTTGGGTCCCCAGACTACTTGATAGTGCTGCCTACACTTGGGGTACAGCTCGCCCATCTTAGTTAGTCTTCCCTAAAAATGTCTTTATAGTTATGCCAAGAGCTGTGTTTTATTTTTCTTTGAGACAGGATTTCTCCGTGTAGCCCTGGCTGTCATGGAACTTACTCTGTAGCCCAGACTGGTTTCGAACTCAGAAATCTGCCTGCCTCTGCCTCCTAAGTGCTGGGATTAAAGGTGTGCGCCACCACCACTCTGCAAACTGTGTTTTACTGATGCCTCACCTGACTCTCAGTCAGGTTTAACCATCAGCCCCTGGCCTTCCAGGGAGCCTCAATAGGCCTGTGGAGCTTCTGGCTTTGCTGAGGCCTCCTCTGTTGCTCCTATCCTTCCTTTCAGTGCCCTTTCCCTGTGGGAAAACCACCATAGGACGCATGAAGAGGTCCTTGGACCAGAGCACCAACCACAGTGAGCCTTTCCCTGAAGACTTCCTACCAGAGTTAGACTTGCTGTCGCCTACGGAGAGTCCTTCCGAGCTGCTCAACCTCAACCAGACACAACCGGAAAAAGACAGCTCAAGCGTTATTCGGATTGTGGGTGGCCGAGCATGCAAAGACGGGGAGTGTCCCTGGCAGGTAACTGGGCCAAGATAAAACTGGTGGCTCGTAGAACAGGCTGGTGGGACAATTCACTGAGGGTCAGCAACTCAGACCTGCAAGGGTCCTTCCCGGTGGTCATCATTCCTCTTCTAGTGTGAGAGTATTTTTTAAACAAAAATATTTAAATACTAAGAGGTATAAAAATACCTTTTTAAAAAAAGACACATCTATTTATGTTTAAAATGCTTTTCTGTGCATAGGGAGAAAATGCTAGGACTGGTTTGGACGAGATGAAAGAGGAGGCCCTGTTAGAGGGACCTTGTCATCTGGGTGGGAAGGAGACAGGCAAAGGTATCCTGCAGGGCTAGTGCTTGGGTGTCTGTGGATCATCAGTCGGTCCATCTTTAAAGCAGACCAAAGCTATAGTGTGGAAATAAAGCTGGGTGTCTCCGGGAGTCACTCACAATGTGGGCACCATAGAACATCCAGAGTGCCGGGAAGGAAGGGCTGGGCCACTTGCAAGGATGCTGCAAGGAGTTGTAGGGCTGGCTAATGGGGGTAGTGAGAAGTGCCTTGCTCTCTTCCAGGCTGTAGCACTAAGAGAAAGGCAGGAAGCAGACAGGCAAAAGGGGCAGGATCTCGGGGTAGTCCAGCAGACGTGGAGAGCTGTGGTCAGGTGTAAGTCTCCTAGAAAAGGTTCTCTGAGACCCTGCAGAGAGCCCACACGGCCTAGGCAGCTTGACACGGCCCTTGTTCAGATCGTAGGTGGTTTGCAGACACTCTGTTCTGGTCGCAGGCTCTGCTTGTCAATGATGACAACAATGAGGGCTTCTGTGGGGGCACCATCTTGAATGAGTTCTACATCCTCACGGCGGCCCACTGTCTGCACCAAGCCAAGCGATTCAGGGTGAGGGTAGGTAAGTGACGCCCCAGCCCTGGGGACGCCACCATCTCAAGCCCTAGGGCTGTGATTGCTGCTCTCCCCCAGGACCGCTAGAACTACACATGGGTTCTGTTAGCAACACCTGCTCAAAGGCAGATGCTCTGCTTGGAGATGGTCAGAGAGGAGAAGGGGGTGGGCATCTCCAGACTTCCGGGGGCTGGGCCATTCCACACAGAGACTTCCCCAAGGCCAGACCATTCCACACAGAGACTCCCCCAGGGTCAGACCGTTCCACACAGAGACTCCCCCAGGGCCAGACCATTCCGCACAGAGACTCCCTCAGGGCCGGCCATTCCACACAGAGACTTCCCCAGGGCTGGTCATTCCACACAGAGACTTCCCCAGGGCTGGTCATTCTGCACAGAGACTTCCCACCTTCCCTCTTCAGTGCTTTCATGACGTTCCTCTCTTAGCATTCTTCCCTCAAAAACCTTCCCAGCCTGCCTCTCTCCACAAGAGAGTCTCTTACTCTCTCTTACTCTCTCCACGGAGTCTCTTACTTCCGTGTTACTTCACTTTGGTGTTTCTATGAGATCCATGAGTTAGGCAGTGAAAAATCCTGCACTAGCCCCAAATGCAGTTTGAAAATGTCTGGCATCCCTCCGCTACAGATTTAAGAAGCAGAGATGAGTGAGGTTGTTCCAGTGTCTCGTTTCCAAAGCCCTGACTTCCCAGGTGTTTAGAAATAAATAAACCTTGGCTGTGAGTGAGATGTTACTACAGTCTCCTTTCACAGTCAGCGGCACACTGCGCCTTCAGCTCGTCTCAGGTCAGACCGTTTGGGCCGGGGTGCACAGCCCAGGTCTGGAAGAGGAGAGAGACCCTTGGCCCTGAGCTGATTGACAGACCCAGATGACCGGAAGTACTCAAGTGTGAGGAACTGGAAAGCACAAGAGTCCTAAACATTCACACAGAAACATGATCGGGGAGCTGGAGAGAAGGCTTAGTGGTTAGCAGTACTTAACTACTCTCGCAGAGGACCTGGGTTTGGTGGCTCACAGCTGTCTGTAACTCCAGGTCCAAGGGGATCTGATACCCTGGTCTCCACAGGCACTAGGCATGTGCACAGTACACATGCATACACACGCAGGCAAATGCTCATAGACATGAAATAAAATAACCCTTTTTAAAAAGTCTTTAAAAACATGATCAGAAGGGGAAGCCCTGGGAGGAAGGCAGAGCCCTTTAGTCTCTCTCCAGAGGGCAGGCTCTTCAGGAATTTGTAAGCACTGCCTTGTCCTTCTGAGCGCTAGGACGCAAGCATATACTCCTTGACGTGGGTCTGGTTTTTCATTAGAGAAAAATTATTTTGTGGGGTGGGGTGAAGGGTTTATTTGCCTTATACTTTCACATCACTGTTTATCACTGAAGGAAGCCAGGGCAGGAATTCAAACAGGGAAAGAACCTAGAGACGGGAGCTGACACAGAGGTCATGGAGGGGTGTTGCTTATTGGCTTGCTCCTCACGACTTGTTCAGCCTGCTTTCTTATAGAGCCCAGGACCATCAGCCCAGGGATGGCCCCACCCACAATGGGCCGGGCCCTCCCCAATCAATCACTAATTAAGAAAATACCCTGCAGGCTTGCCTACAGCCCAATCTTCTGAAGGCAATTTTTCAATTGAGGCTCCCTCTTCTGTGATGACTCTAACCTGTGTCAAGGTGACTTAAGCCCAGGCAACTCATTCCCTTCCTTCCTTCCTTCCTTCCTTTCTTTCTTTCTTTCTTTCTTTCTTTCTTTCTTCCTTTCTTTTCTTGTGGAGACAGTATCTGGTTATGACACACTGACTGGCCTAGAACTTACTATGTAGATAATGCTGGCCTTGAAGTCACAGAGATCCTCCTGCCTCTGCCTCCTTCCCTACATGACTACAGGTGTACACTTCTTTAAAGGTAGTTGATATGCAAATACCCGGCCCTGAGAGAACTAACTGCCAACTGCGCTCTCTCTCTCTGTCTGTCTCTCTCTCTTTCTCTCTGTCTCTCTCTGTGTGTCTTTCTCTGTGTCTCTGTCTCTGTCTCTCTCTGTCTCTCTGTCTCTATGTGTGTCTCTGTCTCTCTGTCTCTGTGTGTGTCTCTGTCTCTCTGTCTCTGTGTGTGTCTCTGTCTCTGTCTCTCTCTCTGTGTCTCTCTCTCTGTGTCTCTCTATCTCTCCCCCCACCTCCAGGGGATCGGAACACAGAGAAGGAGGAAGGCAATGAGATGGTGCACGACGTGGACGTGATCATAAAGCACAACAAGTTTGTGAGGGAGACCTATGACTTCGACATCGCAGTGCTCAAGCTGAAGACTCCCATCACGTTCCGCATGAACGTGGCCCCCGCCTGCCTGCCTCAGAAGGACTGGGCCGAGGCCACACTGATGACGCAGAAGTCGGGCATCGTGAGTGGGTTTGGACGCACACATGAGAAGGGCCGCCAGTCAAACATCTTGAAGATGCTGGAGGTGCCCTATGTGGATCGCAACACCTGCAAGCTCTCCAGCAGCTTCACCATCACACAGAACATGTTCTGTGCTGGCTACGATGCCAAACTGGAGGATGCCTGCCAGGGGGACAGCGGCGGCCCCCACGTCACCGAGTACAAAGGCACCCACTTCGTGACTGGCATTGTCAGCTGGGGAGAAGGGTGTGCGAGGAAAGGGAAGTATGGGATCTACACGAAGGTCACGGCCTTCCTCAGGTGGATTGAGAAGTCCATGAAAGCCAGGGTGGTGCCCACATCTGAGACCCCAACATCAACAAGTCCTCCCCATTAAAGCAGCTCTCTAGACCTGCTGGGTCACATGTG